TAATTTATATATTTATGTTTATATATATTTTTTATGTATGTATGTATATATACTTATATGTATGTATGTATGTATATATACTTATATATATGTATATATACCTATTCTGATTGTCTGTGAACTGAGCCCTAGGGTTTTAGGGTTAGGTTTTGGCCGACCCAAATCTTGGCCAGAATTTGGGTCGACCAGGCCTGTTATCAGTTGTCAGAATATTTGTGTCATCATTATTGATGAGAATTCACATGGTCATAATGTTTGAGTATACAGAAGTGGCGTGTGGCACATAGGGTGGCACAAGCTACATCACTAATCTAATGAACTGTATTAGGCAATAATAATAAACTGTAGTGTACGTGTAACAATGAGCCAAGATGTACTCACATTATATATATATATATAAGTATATATACATATATATACATGTGTGTGTGTGTATGTATGTATGTATGAATGTATAATATATATTTATATATATATAGATTCTGGCTAAGTGGTATACGCTAGGCAATTTAAATCCACAATGTTGTACCGGTCAACTATAAATTAAAACATATCGTTGATGTAAAGTCTTCGCTTCAAAGTTGGGTGGCAGAGCAAAGCGAAGATGGACTATTTGGACCTCGCTAATGTGCATCCGTAGTCAGGAGAAGCTTAGACTAACTTCTATTCTAAGAAGCCTAGACTAACTTCTATTCTGAGACAAAATCAAGATCACACAGTATAATTTTTATTTGTGTAGCCCCGAGTCGGTTTCATTGCTCTCTTTCCGCAGCAGTGCGTCTCTGTTTCAGTCATGATGCTCTAAGACATGATGCTTCTTGTACTAAAGGTCCTTTGTCATAATTAACACACACGACTATCGCCCACTACTGTTGTCCGGGGTGTATGCGATCATCCACTTTGGAAAAACGTCGGGTACTTATAAATGAGTATGAGCTGAATCTCCTATAAATCGGCATACTTTCACTGGATCTAACTGTTTCGATCCCGACCATCGTGCTTTTTGGGGGAACCATCCTATCTTCTCTTTCTAAATTTCATGTCCCACACACTTCATCAAAGAAATTACTTTAGCTGAATCCCGACCATGTCCCGTACCGCAGTCCGATCTGTTCATCTATATGTGACCCATTCTAAATGCTCACTACAATTCGCTTGTAGCCTTCGGCCAGTATTCAACACAAGTTTTGCGAAGCCTCGGGCGATTGTCAGCTTGGTACGCTGTACTCGCTTGTTAATCGATACTCCTATTGCGAATGTATACTTTTGCGGAGGAGGAAACAGTACGTTTCATGCCGAAGAACATCCGTACATTTGGCTCTTGCAAGTTTTAAATTTGCAACTTATGTTTCTGGTGTGCATTACTACGCTCCGCTAATGAAAGCACATTGTGATGACTGGTTTGACAATGCATCTCGCGCAACTAGCCGCCATCATCTGTGTATAGCTGAACAATGCGTTCACTCCTCTTTCTTCTGTGCGTCTGTCTTACCCCCACTACTAGCACCCCTTATGTCATTAAGTCCCAACGTAACCGCGAGTTCGTCAGGATGATCGCACGTGTATGGTGGATTACCTGGCTCGGGAATGCGGAAAGCTTCTTTGCCCTGTATTAGAAAGCGTAAATGTAAAATTTAAAACATGGGTGTACAATCGTTACAGCTTGTGCAGTCTGTATTTGTCTGCCGTAAATGCGTTGATCACAGCAGCATTCAGATAGAATTCACCTCCGTCCGACAACAAAAATCTGACCTAGTAGCGCATCGTTCTCACAGTCACAAGCACCTTGCTTAGATCTGATCAACACATTGCTTGTCTTTTACCATCAACCCAGAGTTGTATCAGGTTTGTACACCTAGTGCACGCCGATTGAACCACGAATATCCGACAGTGGATATGACACACAGTGCAAATATTCAATCAAGACCATTCGTACTCACCTCTCGGAATACGACAATGGTTGGCAGGTTTTTAGACGATGCTGACGTATCAATATTGAATTTCTTCGCAGCAACCGGCTGTCGGCCCACGTCGACCTTGCCGAACTTGACATCAGCTTGCTTGGTAGCCCCACTGTAGCTGCTCGATGTACATTTTATGTTTATGTGTGTGTGCAAGTGTAAATGAGAGTTCGAGTACGGATGTGGGTGCGTGTGACATGCAATTGTAGACCGGCTAATACAGACAGATTAACCAGTGTATACGTGCTGAGCTTCGTATAGTATGTGTCTACTTAGCGACATGATTCGGCGTAGATGATTCATTACTTGTCAACGTAGTGTTCAATACGTACTTGGATTATGTTAAAGAGCGGTCAATTGTTAAAAGGCCACTTTGTATCAAGAATTAAACGGTTTTCAGGCTCATAGTCTCGTCACGAAACGGAAGAAACTTTTGTTTATAATCGCTTCCCACATTTTTTAAACAGCGAACAGTGTGGCTGACACGACTTCTCGTGACCCAACATGTTCCACTACGAATGCCCAATTTAAAAGTCGCAGCATAGACTTTTGCACAGTAACAATGATCAAAAAAATATTGGGGCAACGGTCACATACTCACTCCATCACACAATATTTCAAAGTATATGCAGCTACATACCCCCCAAAAATCGGACTGGATACAATTCGCAAGAATTCGATAAAATTTGAAGATTCATATTGCGACCAAGTACACGCTAAGGTAAAGTAAAATAATGCTTCGCATGCCACATAGTCGCAAAAAAAAACACCGCTGCTGCTGCGGGTTTTGCAGAACAGAGAGAACATACTAATACGACAGGTCAGAAAATCCCTCGGCAGCTTCTACACACAATGATGACCAAGTGGCGAAGAAAAGTACCACCCACACAGTCTCCACTGATGTCTGCAAGGAGAAATGGCAGTTTTGAAATAGTTTAGCGAAATGCTCGGCTCTTTATGAAGCTTTTGTGGGCGCCGCTAGTACCGAAGTAAGATTTTATACAAAGCAGCTCACATGGACTATTCAATGGATACTAATCAACGAGAGGTCCACTAATAGACAGCATGTACAAGCTTCACTGTGCGTGTGGTGTTGAAAAGTTTGTGAGTTGGGTTAGAACACAACCTAGGTATCCGCATCAGAGTACATAACCTATTGAGATGTGCTACTGTGCAAGTGTATTCGGGGAGACTGCCTAACACCTGCAAGTGGATTGCGCCTTCATTATCAAATGATTTTGAGAGCTATATATGCACCATGCCTTGGGGTAGCGGACGTTTGTTGGTCTGAAAAGATTTCTATCAATAGACCGGCACAAGGCAATAAACTTGTCTTACAGCCCGAAAATATTCATTGGCTATGCCTTGACCGATACACCCGTCCGCACACTGATACATGCCAATTTTAGCTCCGCGAAGACAGACAAGGAGGACAGATAATTTGAAGCTATACGAGCTACGCGTCAAACATTAATAAGATCAGAACGCAATTGACTTTGCTCACACCAGCATGCATGTGAATGCAGTAGTTAATATCCATACATTCCTTGGAATTACTCCTGAATGTGCACTGACTGCATTCTTGCCCTACCTTGCTTTCTGTATCTTTCTGGGTCTCTTGTAACGCTGCTTTCAATGCCGGCATCGACAAATATTTGTAATTGGAATTGCCAACATACGGTGGGAATGGTACCACCACGAAGAGCCCTGATACAGCAACAAAACCATAGTGTCAGATTCTTTCACGCATTCTTGTCGTGCAACTCGGTGATGTAGGCCATGCGTACACTTGTTCGTGGATGTGATTGAGATGTAACTTTGAATGCTCGCTAGAGGTATGAGACACATGCGCGACCTGCCAATTGAGTAGTAGCATGAGCGGAGCATTGATTGACGAGTTCATTTTACTACTTCAATGTTGCACAGCGTTCGGTTTGCGAGGCCTGATAAAAGCATGCACACACTCGTACACGTCGTGCTGATTGACTTGAAGTGCGGAATGACTAGGTCGGCTTGTCGAAAACCTATCGTAATGGAAATGGTGTGCATCGTATATGCTATCCAATGAAACTTAGAATTACAAACAGCCTCATTAAGCGGTGCACGCGATCACGAGAATTGCATAAACTGAACAGATACAGCGTATGATCAGCTGCCAACACTGTCAAGACAATCCAAATAGGCAAGTCGCATATATACATGGAAGGATGGGCAATGCAGAACGGCCGAAAGCTTCAATAACAGTATAGTCAATGCAAGTGTAGAAAATATAAACTCTCAATCTGGGACGATATTCTGCAAAGCGGTATTGATAAAATACATACCCAGGAGGAATAGCGTGTACGCGACTGCCAGTGCCGTGGAGAGCATGACCAGTAGAACAACATTGGCAACTCGACCGAACATGAGCAAATCGTCGATGAACGCTATGTTGGATTTCTTACGGATACCTTTGACTGCCAGAACACACCCTATGAAAAGTATGACTTCATTCTCTTTCTGTGCGGGCATGTAGATAGAAAATCATAATATAAAGAAGATTAAGGTATTTGAACGCCAATACCAGTTCTTCTAAAACTGTAAGCACCACAAAGTAAGTGAGTGATCGCTGGTATCGATTATCCACACAATACATTATGAAGAAAAAAATATTTGTGCCGAGAAATAATATATCCACGATCCTATGCCGAATCAATCACCTCCAGCAAGAGACCGCATATAAGAATTCGGTGAGAATTAGTTATATCTATATTT